CGAACGGTGCTGTTCGTGAACCAAATTGTTCGTGAACAGAAGCGTTCGTGAACCGAGGTATTACTGTATATTGTTTGAACCAAAACAATACAAATGGAAATTGCATCTTTGACCATTCTAAGTCGACATGTACCATATACATCTTCAATAGTACTTGACGTCTTCTGCCTATGTGCAAATATTCTTTCTTGTATAAATGTCCATATTCTTTCCATCTATTTCATTTGCCTGCAACAGGAAAATCGGAGTAGATAATTGTTACAAAATCATAGGTGTGTTAGCCTATATGGTGTATTGCTGCCCTCTATGGGGTATAATATTCATTGCACTTAGTTTTTGATGTAGCACTGCCTATTTTGTGCTCTAATCTCAAGGTTTACAGTATAGTTTTCCAAACTTTTTGGGCCAGTGGGCACATCTGAAATATTAATACTCGTAGGTGAGGAAGAACAGTTAAAAGGCTGCAGTGGCTTGTGTAGCTGGTCACTAAACATTTCACAGAAGGCCAGATAGTTAATGCTAAATGATGAGTAACTTGTCCAAAATTCTGAATACAAACTCCCAAACACAAGCACTCTCCTTTTAAACTCTCCTATTCAACCACCCACAAACTCTCACTTCAGCCAATCCTCACATAACTCCCCCCAAATCTCCAGGCTATGTTTCCTTCATCCCAGCCCAGTTGGGTCAACTTTCCACAGTCTTCCCCTGCTGCTTCCTCAGATTGTGTCTTTTCCTCTTTGCCTTTCTGCCAATTACCAGATAGTAGCTGTATGTCTGCTCTCTGCCTTTTTTATTTTTATTTTGTATTTGGGTGTAGGAGGGGGACTGCTACTGCTTCATAATAAAGTGCTATCCTACAGCTGCCTTCCACCTTTACTTCCTTTAAATGTCTCTGGAGCCACATGGAGCCTGAAGAAAATAATGAAAATAATTATTTGGTATCGGCAAGATAATTCTCAAAAACAGGTGAAGATGGTGTTCCTGGGTCCATGGACTGCTATAGATACTGTGCTACTTTCCTGTGTTTAGCATCAAAGCATTTATTAAGGCATTTGGACAGGGTTGGGGAACTCAGGTGTTGCTGAACTACAGCTCCCAGTAGTGCAATTAACATGGCCCATGGCAATGAATGCTGGGAATTGCGGTTCATCAATATCTGGATGGCACAGGTTGTCCAATCCAAATAAATAAGTGGCATGGAAAGCCAAACAGCAACGTCAAATACTGTAAACCTTAAATAGACTTTCCAAGAGAGCCAGTTGGTGTAGTGGTTAAGGTAACAGGCTAGAAGCCCGGAGACTGTGAGTTCAGTCCCGCCTTCGGCATGAAACCAGCTGGATGACCTTGGGCCAGTCACTCCCTCTCAGCCCTAGGAAGCAGGCAATGGCAAGCCACTTCCAAAATCTTGCCAAGAATAACTCAGTGGACTAGCCCAGGCTGTTGCCAGGAGTCAACTTGAGGTCACACAAGTCATCTGAATATCGCTATCAATTCACAGGCGTAACAAGCTTCAATTTACCTACTCTCCTGAGGAATGTTTTCACTGACAGCTGCCCTGTATTGTAATAGCTTTGCCCAATCAGACTGGGCCTGGAAAATGGCATTTTCCAAAGTAGGAAGACAGCGTAGGAATTGGGAAAATAATTTCCCTTCTGCTTCTAGAAAACCAAACAGGAAATACTTTTCCTAGGGTTTCAGGCTTGGCATGGCATACATACTGTGTGAGCTTCAGGCAGACTGTGCCACAAAGTATATAAAGGGAATAGAAATGGGGCCATTCTCCATTGAGGCAGCCTTTTCCCCAAAGCCACCAGACTTGGCTTCTGCCAGTTCCTGATGGTTGCGCTTCTTTAATTCAAAGCGGCTGCTCTTCACCCCCTCTCCCAAGCCATGGGGCAGCCAGGGGCTTCCTTTACATTCTCAGCGCAGCACAACCCAGGCTGACCACGGTGAGACGCTGTTCCAAGATGGTTCTCAAAAGTCAGCAAGGACCCTCTGGACTTCAGGTGGAACCCAGGTTCAATTGATGCAAAGTGAACGGACTATCCTTGATTTCCCTGATCCGATCGTCCCCCAGAAATACCTCCAATATTCTGAACTTGGATTTGGGCACCTAATAAATAAATAAGCAATAACCTCAATTTTTCTGTCACATTGAAAAGTACAATTTAGTGGCAATTTAGGAGAAGCTGAAGAGCCTAGAGATTTGCAGGACCATTGGTCTCCAATTGTCTTTGCCTGTCCCACAAGATCAGACCCGCCAGCATGCTCCAGTGCCCTCAATAAAACATCCCCCAGGGGACCCAGGAGGCAAACCTTCCCTGTTGCCGCCCTCACCCTGGGCAACACCACCTCTGCCCCCACAACCCTGACGGCCTTTAGGAGGGCCTTTTAAGACTTGGCTCTTCCCTCAGAATGTCTGGGCCAAGGTGTTGTGTGAACCCATCAAATTGTGCGTAAGTGGAATTTGTTTGCCCCAGGATGGGGCGTTTTTTGGAGGGGGGGTATTTTGAGGTTTTTAATCCTTTGGAAGCCACCCGGAGTTGTTCAGATTTGGTACCCGTAATACAGTAAAAACGGCTTTGGGGATCATCGGAAAAGTATCTTGCAGCAGCCCTTTTTTTATATCCTGTTGCCAGCTTCTTCAAAAACATGCTGTGTATTGGGAGATGTTATTGCTTTACCGAATTTATTTACAAAATGTGGAGGGCTACATTTTCTACAGCAGAAAGACCCCAACAAATGAACTCCTGATTATCTAGATGGACATGTCACCTCCGCATACTTAGCTTGGCAAGCTACCGAAATGGTGCGTTGATACCGTTTCCTTCTCTTTCACCCTTTGCAATTGTAGCTACAACAAAAATCAACCCCAGCCGTATATAAACTATAAAGCCACCCTAAAGCGAGTTTGCTTCCCGAGTTGAAAAGGGGGATGCGCTGCGCCGCAGCTGTTCTCCGTCCACGCCCTGCCTGAACAGGGAGGATCTCGGTCTATGAAGCGCGTGATCCACAAGCTAGCGAGCTCCACCAGCGTACGTCCTCCTTTCTTTCTCCAACTGGAGCCCGCCCAGTCGGGCTCCTTCACATGGCCTGCCTTGAACGTCGGAACGCCTCGCCCTCTTTCCAGTCCGCCGTGCGTCTTTTCCATTCCTTTCCACCGGGCTTCCTTTTCCAGCCGGCGTTCGTCAAAAGCAGGTGGGATCGCGCGCCGTCAAAACGAGATCGCCGTCACGAACAGGATTCGAACCTGTGCGGGGAAACCCCATTGGATTTCGAGTCCAACGCCTTAACCACTCGGCCACCGTGACTCTCGGGCCAGGGTTGCGTGGAGCTCCAGCTAGACAGATCCTTCGAGAGGCTGGACGTATTTTTTTTTTCCTCTTCGGAAAGTGAGGAAGAAGGAAGAGGACGCCGCGGCGGAAACCCGCTTTTCGGGAGAGGAGGGGCGAGGGGGAAAGCTCTCCCGCCAGCCCAACTCAGCGCCCGGCCGAAAGAAAGCACCGGTGCTCTTTTCTCGGCCTGCCCGCCTTGACGCTCGTTGCCTCTCGCCTGCGCGGCTCCTCCGTCTCCCCTCCGTAGTCGCAACACGGACTCCATTTTTGAACTTCATCCCCCCTTCCCCGACTCGTCCCTCTTTAACTTTTTCCCGTCGTCTTATTTCCTCCACCCCCAAGCTAACCTGTTCTGGTCTCCTCTTTGCAGAAGACTTGAGGTTGCCCCCCCGAATGATTTATTGTCAGCCCTAGGAAGCGTGCATTAGCACTCAAGAAGAGCTCCTGCGCATATACAGAGTTCCTTTCTAATCATGGTACAGTATTAAAGGAAATGACCTGACGGTGACGCTGCCACATCCCTCCTGAAGGATTTCCCACTCCCTCTGCCTGGCCAAGGGAAGCGCCGGCCCCTTGCCACTGAGCCGAAAGAGGTGCAAATAAGCCATGAAGGGAGAAGCGTTCGTCTGGTGCCGAAACACTTTCAAAAAACGGCGACGTGTTTTCCACACAAAACAAGGCCGTCCCTGCCCGCAGGCTTGCAATACGAAAGAGGCTCTTCTGAAAGGGAGGGAACGGACGTGAAAACAAGCCGATCCGGACGCCAGGTCTCCCCGAAACGACGGACCCAAGTGTTTCTTTCACACGACCCGACCGCGTCGTGCCGAGGGAGACCTTTTGGGATCGCAACCAGAACAGGCGGGAGGCTTTCTTGGCCTCATTGCTCCCCAGGCGATTTCGAGCCCAGCTCTTTAACACACCCTAGACGCTTTGGATATCACCTCCCTCCTCACCCGTTGTCGTCTTTCTTGGGGTGGAAATAGAAATTCACCCCTGATCCCTTCCAGATGCGATCGTCACGGTGGTTGGGTATCCTTCCTCCTGCTCTGTAGAGGAGTATCAGAATGATAGAAATGTAAGTGGCTCCTATTAAAGCCTAAATTTAGCGAAGCCGCCCTGATCTAGCCCCCTGCCCGCACACACACCCCGCCGTAGGATTAAAGGCACACAGAACAAGCGCGTTCCTTTATTATGAGCGACTGGCTCTCACGGCTGATCTTTCGGCGAAGGCATTTCCCGCCTTGCGCTCCGTGTAAGGCGGCCTTCGGCCAGCAGGGGGCGCACCGAGACAGGCTGCACGGAGCGACCAGGCTTTCTCCTCCCTTTCGCCGGCAGGGGCCGCTGCTTCCCGGGGCGGGAGGCAGAGCGCTCACGCGGCCGGCAGAGGGCGCAGCGAGGCGCTGGCGGCCGCGGTGGTGGCGCGCAGGGAGAGAGCGACGCGGCCCAGGCCGGCGGCGCTGGGAAAATGGCGGTGCGGAAGAAGGACGGCGGCCCCAACGTCAAGTACTACGAGGCCTCGGACACCGTTAGTCAGTTCGACAGCGCGCGGGTCTGGCTGGGCAAGAACTACAAGAAGGTACCGGCCTGGCCAGGCCTGGGCCTGCCGGTGCTCCTCCCCGCCGTTTAGGCGACACCTTCTGGAAGCTCCCGGGGGAGGGAAAGGGCGCTTCTCTTCCTCCCATTCCTCTTCCCCTCCGCCGCAGCTGCACCCCGTCGCAGGAGCTGCCACGCTCGCCTTCCTCCCAGGCCGAGGTGCCCCGCAGATACCCAACGTCTCTCCTTTCCTGTGTTTTTTTCCTTTTTTTTCCCAGCAAGATGGGCCCCCTTGGGGGAGGAGGCGGGGTGGGTGCTGATGGCATTGCCAAACTGGGAAGGAGGGACGCGGACCTGAAGAGAGGCGAGATTCCCCTCCCTCGTAGAGGCAGATGGTGGGATTTCTGTTGACCCCACCCCACCGCCCCGGAAGGGTCTTTAAAGCCGCGGTCCCTCTTCAAAATGCCCCTTTTCACCCCACCCTGCTACTGATCCCGCTTTTCTCAGCCAAAATAAACCACCGATCGTTTGAATCCACTCTGCCCCTCGTAGCTCAGTGATTCCTGATAGAATAGCAGATCCTCCCTTTTTGCAATTATCTCTGGTTGTTTCAGTTCCAGACTGGTTGAATTAGAGACTCCCCCTTTGACCTTTTAGCATCTGGCTGGTTTCACCTGCTGCCCTATTGTCCTGTGGACTGCAAGTCCTTCCTTTCCATTGAAGCTTTCATTTTTCATTTGTTGACACTCCAGCTTGTATAAGCAACCCATAATTGACTTCAATAATTTCTTTCCTAATTATAATAACTGTGGCCTTTGGCCTACAGAAGCTTACAGGTTGTGAAGCATCTTTCTTTTGGAGATGGACGTGTTGTGCTTATTCTTATTTTTCCAGAAGAAATTCTTTAATCCTCCCTTTAATCTTCTTTAGATATTCAGTTTTGCTTTTGTTTATTTCTTTAAATGTATTCTTGTTCACAAAAATTGGCAATGCTTTGCTTGCAGTTTTATATCTGGGCCTCATTCTTGCAAAGGAATTCTAGTCAGGAAGACAATCAGAATTACTGCTTTTGTTCTTCCATGCTATTTGCATGTTCAGTTAGTTGCTCTTTTCACATTTTCTTTTCAGCCTCTAGTCAAGTGAAAGGAGCTAAAAGCCCAAACACTAGTATTAAAATTCATGGAATTTGTTTTATAGACATATACACACATGTACACACACATATCCATACATTTATGCCCAAAAACAGTACAGAAGGAGGGACTCTGGGCCATATTAAGCTAGATGAAAGGCAGGTAGAAATACTCCTGGTTGTTTTATGTCTTCAGGTCTCTTCTGTTTGGTGACTGCATCCTTTCTGCAAGCAGCACAGAGCCTTGGTTCCCAGGCTTTTACCTTTGACCTTCTAAGAGAAGGAGAGTGGCTGAATCATCAGGCAACCCTTTAGAGTGACAGCTTTTGACCTGACAGTTCACCAGTTCCCTGGAAGTTCATATCTCTTGCCAATTTCCTTTCCCATTTGTTTCCTAAACTCAAGAATGTCGACACTGGTGAACACTCTTTCTAGGTCCTCTAATATTACTGAAAACTAGTAACAGGCAGTCCAACAATGGAAGCTGATATTTTGCTAAGCAAATTCCATGTAGGCATTTCCCCCTTCAACATACACATACACACATTCCTGTTTCTGGCCAAATCAACAGCTGAGTGATTTTTATGCATAGGTAAGTAAGCCCATATTCTACCTATAAAGGAAAGTTACAGATCCTTGATCTTTGTCAAGGATAATGCAATAGTGCACTGTTATATAATAGTGACATATAATTGTTATAAACATTGTTATTTCTTTAAAAACTCACATATTTGCTTAAAAAACACTACTTTTAAACATTTGTAGTCCAATATACACTTGAACTAAATAAACAGCTTTGAACATGGATGAAATTCTAAATAAATATGTACAGAATTAGTTTTTGGCCTAATTATATTCAATAACTGTTTTCCTTCCCATGCCCCAAATTGAAAATTATGTCCTTTTTTCTTTGAAGAGGAAAAGAAAGTTCCCCGTGCATCTCATTCTGCCCTAGCTAACGTACTTCCTTAAAAACCAGTAGGATCGTAGGCAAGGCTACTAAGAAGTAGAATTTGAAAGCAGGAGGAATATAATAGGCTATTATATTAGCTGCAGTGAGATGGGCAGTGACAAATTTGAAATATAAATAAATAAAAATAAAATGTGTCAAAATTTACAATGTCTCCATACTAATCAGCCCTAATCCATTGGTATGCTAATACCAGCAGAAGCTATTCCCAGTAACAAACCTGAAGAGAAGAACTTCCCTTCCTGTGACTCCCAGGTTTTGCATCAGCGTCCCCCAGTCCTCTGGAGCAAATTGAAGATACAGATAATCCTTGACTTACAACCACAACTGGGACCAGAATTTCCATTGCTAAGCAACACAGTTGTAAAGTGAGATGTCACCTGACCGCATTACTTAGCAACTGCAATCCCGGCACTTCCCGTTGCAGTCGTTAAGCGAATTCCGTAGGTCATTAGCTGAGGACCCACCCCAATCCAAGCCATTCCGGGCTTGGTCTCTCCCAGCCCCAAGCCTCAGTAAGGTAAGGGACTGCCTCCGACTCCCCCCACTCGCCTGTTTCTCCCCCATCTCTGCCCTTTTGGCCACTGCACCCTGCCTTGCAGGACGGCAAGCAGCCCCTGAACCGCATGACTCTGGGGCTGCTTGCCAGGCCCTGGGAAGCTGCAGCCACCCCATCCCAATCCCAGCCATGGTCACCCTCGCCACCCTGCACTCCAAGACCCCGGCTGCCCCGTATTCTGCTGCCCCAGCTTATCTTCACTGTCTTCTTGCTCCTGTTGCTGCTGAGGTGTGCCTGGCCTGGCTGCTAGGCCAGGCTGGGGCTAGGCTTTGTACTGTGCTGCGGCTGCAGCCCCAGAGCCACAGCGCACCAAAAAGCCCCTTTGTGCCACACTCTTGGGCCAAGCTGAGGCTGGGATTCCTGCTGCACTGTGGCTCAGAGGCTGTTTTCTGTGCAAAGGGGGTTTTTGGCACGCCATGGCTCTGGGGTTGCAAAAAGCAGCCCCTGAGCCTCAGCACGAAGCCCAGCCCCAGCCTGGCCCAGGAGTATGGCACAAAGGGGCTTTTTGGCACACAGTGGATTTGGGGCCCCAAAAAGCAGCTGCAGTGTGAAGTTCAGCCAAAGCACGGCCCAGGAGCACGGCGCAAAGCCGCAACTGCCCCTGCCCAGTCCCAACCACAGTTGCCATCCTGCACTCTGAGGCCCCTGCCACCCTGCAATTAGGTAGTAGTATAGGGGGTTTTTTGTTAGCAATTGTTGTTAGCAATTAGATAGGGTTTTTTCATTTTTTTTTTTGCTAGAGATACTTATGTTGATTGCAATTTCTTTTGAGACATGGACCAGTGTCCACAGTCCTGTTGAGAAATTTAAAAGTTGTTTGTCTACACAATTTGGTTCACATGTACTGTGAAATAAAATCTGTTGTAATCGGCCCACTAAGATACCTTAGAAAGTATACTAAGTGTACTAAGTGACTGCAGCTTTGGTATACCTAATAGTTATAAATTCTAGAAAGGAAAATTCTGATGCTTTGCATGTGGAACTGGATCTCTCGAGAAGTGCGGTATCTTCCCTTTGATAATAACACCTGGAATCTATTTTTAATCCTAGCTAATGAAACGTCACCTAGTTTTAATGCTTTCCTATATTATCCTGAATTTCCTTTTCTCTATTTCTTTTCTCTTTCAAGATAAAGAAAAAAGTTCTAATGTTCCCTGTAAAACCCATTTTAGGTTAGGACTTAACCTACTATTAGTCATTGGAAGCCACAAATTGAAGGTGAATGCTTTCTTGGTGCTGCTTGGTTATGGTTTAAAAGAGTAGCTACTAGGAAGACTTGGTTTCAGTTTACCTAAAGGCTCAATCCTTTTTTTTTCCTGCAGTACATTCAAGCGGAGCCCCCTACCAATAAGTCATTATCCAACCTAGTGGTACAGCTGCTGCAGTTCCAAGAGGAGGTATTTGGGAAGCATGTCAGCAATGCACCACTCACAAAGTTGCCAGTAAGTGCCAGAGTTTTCTTAATCTTTAAGGAAACAATTTCCAGTAATGTAGAAGATAATAGAAAGATTGATGCTATTCAGCACAGCAGTAGCCCCTTGTGTAGTCTAAAACTGTGAGACTTGAATAATGTTCCGTTAGAATCTTCAGCAGTTATTTTAAGACCTTTCTCTATATAAAGGTCTTCCTGTATGTAGGAAGTAAGTACATTAGGGGAAGAGGCATGTTAAATCTTTTTACTTGATGTGCTATAGAGCTGTTTATGTAAAGAAACATCACCAAACAAAATTTTACCTGTAATTTGAAGTGGCACTGATCAGAATTCTAGGATTACATTCTGCATAATGTATGGAATAAGTCTGAGAAGTTCTATGTAGCATCATGGGGATTGCAAACACAAACCATGTATTTTACCGGTGGTTAGTTCTTTGTGGGATAGCATAGTGCATATCTTCTAATGCAGTCATGTTGTCTGCAATCATGTAACGTTACTCTTAAGAGAAAAATACACTAACTATTAATTATTGTATTCACACAGAACAGAACTGTTTTATATTTTGATCCAGGCTGACAGATTTTGATGCTGAAAAAATTATTTCTGCTGTACTTTGATAGTTCCTTTAAGTCTTTGCAGTTTATTATTTAGGTTGTTGTGAAAATAGAAAGCTAACTTTTCAGGGAGCAACATCTACAGCATAGATCAGATATGACCTCTGAATCTGAGCTACAGCCTTCTTTCTTTCTAATACATAGTAATTAGGCATAGCAAAAAGAAAGAAAGCAAGACATTGTGCAAATTCACCTTGCAAAGTGCAAGTTTGTGCAAAGTGGAATTGCTTTATTTTTTTAGATAGAGCCAGGGAAGGATCAGGGCCTGGCAATTAGGAAAATAAAATTAATTCTAGCCTCCCTGTGTAATGTGGTCTCCCTGAACTTTTCCCTTTCTGTTGTGGTAATTAAGCTTTGGGAAACAAATGCTCCATTTGCTTGAAGAGCAAGAGGCAATAGAAAGGGACAGAAGGGAGGAAAAGAATGAAAATGTAAAGAGAAAGGGGAAAGAAAGAGAAAAGGAGCTTTTGGAGTAGGTGAAGCTGAATTAACCCCTTGTTTTGCTTTCTCTGCCTGTTATAGATTAAAAGTTTCTTAGATTTCAAAGCTGGTGGTGCCCTGTGTCACATCCTTGCAGCAGCTTATAAATTCAAGAGTGACCAAGGATGGTAAGCCTTCTATTTACTGTTCTCACTATGTGTCATGAAATAATAGGAGTTTGTGTTTTTATATCATTATGATAGAAGAACCTGTTTCAAGTAGAAGTTAATGTTATATTTGGAAACTTTTAATGTTTAATAAGAAGCGATAAATTGTATCTGTGTTAGGATTGTTGCATTATTGCTTTACACTTCCTTTTCCCTTTCATTGTATTGGAAGTTGGGGCTATTGAACAGTGGCATACTGGGTTGTAATTGAAATTGTGTATTTTGTCTTCCTATTGACCTATCTTAAATGTCTTCTATTATTTATTTCACAGTATTTATAGCTCACTCCATTCCTGTTATACTCTGGGCAGAGTACAAGGTCAAAGCAAATAAAAGCCCAGGGTGCAAAATTAAAATAATATTTTCTAAAAAGTCATCATTAAGCACCATGGGCACCCATAAAACTCAACAAATAAACTAAGAGCTGAATATATGCTGAAATAAGATTGCCTTGGTCTGTTTACAAAATGTCAGCAAGGTTGGGGCTATCTGTACCAGTGGGAGAAGGACATTTCACAAAGTGGGGACTTCCACTCAGAAAGCTTGCCGCCTAGTGTCAGTCCTATGAGTTAGACTGGACCAAGAAACAGATGCCACATAGACCTAAAATTACTTTTGTTAAGATTGGCTATAGTACCAGAATCTTACAAATCTGAATGAGCTTCCCATCCTCCCTCTTTTGTCTTCAAGGGGGGTGCCTATCTTGAGACATCTTCATAAACCTTTCCTCCTCACTTGGGCTTAAGAAATGTTTATCTCCTTGTTGCCTTGGTAGTGGATCTTCCTTTTCTCTGCCAAGGTCATCCTCTTTACTCTCTATACCTGGTCTATACCCCATGAATTTCGTGAGGAAGGGGAATCTGTAACAGGCCCTGTCTTAATGATTGGATCAGACAGGCAGATTCAATTTTTACAAGGTGTTGCCTGATATATGCCAGTGCTGCACTGAAAAGGGCTTAAAAGTAATGACCACCACTTTGAATTGGGATTGGAAGCCAACTGGCAACCAGTGCAGTGACTTCAAGATATGAGTTATACCAGCCTGACAGGGTTGTTCTGTCAGGAGTCTAGCTGCTGAATTTTGTACCAGCTGTAGCTTGTAGGTCACCTCTGGGGGCAGCCCCAGGTAGAGCATGTTACAGTAGTCCAGTTGAGTGGTGATCAGGGAATGGGTTACTGTCACAGGGGCATCTTGGTCCAAGTGAGGTTGCAGTTGGTGCATTAACTGGAGTCATAATTTCCATCTGCGGTTTAAGCAGGCTCCAGGAGAATATTCAAGTCATAAACTAGCCCCTTTAAGGGGAGTGTGACTTCATCAAGAATGACTACAGTAGCCAATGTTACAGAGTTGTTCAGATGTCTGTTGACAAAATTGGCTGGATTTAATCTGAGCTGGTTTTGCCCCATCCAGATCTTCTGGGCACTGCTTCAAGGCTTCTATGGCATCTTTGGCTTGGTCCAAGGTGGCAATGCATAACTGGATGTTATTCGCATATTGATGACGCTCACCCTGAACTGCCAAATGACCTCCCCCAGTGGTTTCATATAGATGTTAAATAACATGGATGGAAGCACCAAGCTTTGAGGCACTCCACAGTAGAGTTCCCAGGGATTGGAGCTCCGATCCCCACAGCCATGACTACCAATTGGAACTGCCCACTGAGGTAGGAGTAGAACCAGCACAGACTGTTGTCCCCAACTCCCAACCCTTGCAGGTGATCCAGAAAAGTGTCATGGTCAGCGGTATTGAAGGTGAGCAGGAGGTCTAATAGGACCAAGTGGGCCACACTCTCCCCATCTAGGTGCAAACAAAAGGTGTGCATCAGATTTTCAGATCCTGTCTCTGAAGTGATCCCATTAGTTCATCGCCTGCTCCAAAGTAAAGACCAAATCAAGTGTGTGCCTCCCCACATGTACTTCCCCATGTGTGTTGGAGACACAATTGCCTGTGATAATCCTGTGGAAGCCATGAATTCATGGGTTACACTGAAATCACCCTCCAGGGCATGACCAAAACCTTGGGAACTCCTTCAGTCACAATCTCAAGATGAGGTCCAGGAGGTTGTAGAGAGCCACTGCTAGGCAGTCAGTACCCCAGCAACAGCCCTAGCTTGTCTGTGTGGCCCACCTCCAGGGCAGTGCTTCCCATCATCACAAGAGTCTCAGAAATAGTTACAGCAACCTCTTCTCTCTTCCCTGGCCTTAGCATCATAGCTGCTATAGAGCCTAAAGCCCAGCCATTTCTCAGCCATAGATGCCAGGTTTGCATGTTTGGGCAACACCATATCATCGATAGATGCAGTCTTATTCCGTGTGTCAGGAATGGAAAACCTTTCGGTGATTAAGCCTAGTGAAATAAATACATAAATAAAATAAAAACAAATGTGAGATAGGTTGGGCTGAGAAAAAGTGATTGATAGAAAGAACAGTCTTCATGTAGAAGTCAGTCTGTTATCCAGGATGAATCAGGATCCATAGTAGCAGGTTTTGCTCTGTGGCCTTACTGGGATGTCCAGCCTCAGACATCAGGCTTTATGAAATGCCTCTATCCTGCCTACTTGTAAAATAGGTTATTTACAATGGATGAACTGTGTTTTTTATTGAAGGTTGTTGTTGTTTTTCTTCCAAAAAGGCGGCGTTTCGATTTCCAGAATCCATCACGGATGGACCGAAATGTGGAGATGTTCATGACCATTGAAAAATCTTTGGTACAGGTAAAGTGGCTTTCTTCCCCTCCCCTCCCCTCCCCTCCTCTCTCCTGTCTGTCTGTCTGTCTGTCTTTCATCCCAGATAGGAAACTTTTTTATCTGAGCCCAAGGTATTAATTTCCTCTCTTTCTTTCTTTTTCAGAACAATTGTCTGTCCCGACCTAACATTTATCTGCATCCAGACATTGACCCCAAATTACAAGCCAAGCTGAAAGACATCGTCAAACGACATCAGGTGGGCAAGACAGTAAAACAGCAACTCAGTGAGGGAATGGCAGATCTTGGACCTCACTGCCTTCCATTCCTCTTGTTATATATTGTATCCTTTGCCCAACTGCACATCTTGCATATATAATGGGATTGCAACCCCCAAAATTCACAGCAGTTTCCCCTTGTCTACAAAGATGGAACTGCATGATGTTTGTCCAGTTGTACTTCAGGATAAGAAATAATATTAACTCATAGAATGATGTACAACTGTTTTGCTGCTGAATCTCTCTGAAGAGAGCCCTTAATTTTTTTTCCTATTGCACCTGAAGTGACTGTTTGGTTTATAGATACAGTTGTTCAACATCATTGTACTGGAAAGCAGTAAATGATTTTCTGCAGAATAGGATGGCACCTTAAAAATGAGATGTTACTATATGTGAAGTCCTTTTGAAAACGTGCATTCTATTCCTTACTTGGCATTTCGATCCTGGTAAATGTACTTAAGTTTGCAGTTTAATAGCTGTTCCAAAGAGTAGCTGAAATAGAACCTCAGAATGGTACTGGGACATGCTCCGTGTACTGCATTGCATCAGCTTGGTTCCTCAGAGCAGCTGATGGCACAAAGACTGAACATTCAAGATTGGGAAAGGCCATTTAACAGTAAGGACTAGCACTGTGGAATTGTGCTTGATTAGCTATTAACAGTATAGCAGTGTTAATGGTATATATGACTTATAGTCTAAATCAGAGCTGGGCAAATATTCCACGTGCTAGAGACTGCAAAACAGAGCTCACTAAAGGGATGAAGAGCATGAATTTGTCACACTGGTGAATGACGAAAGCTAGGATTTTAAATCTTTTCTAAGATTAAAACTTTTATTCAGTTGCTTATCAAAAATTATGGAAAGCAATGTTGTCAGGTTTTGGTTGTATGTAACCATACTTCAACACCATGATCAAAAGGAACTTTGAAGGCATTGAAAAAGCATTTTGAGCTGCATGTGGCCCCTGTATGATTTAAATCTTGATGTTTGCATGACTTTTTATTTTTTTTTTCTTTAGGGAACAGTAACTGAAGATAAGAACAGTGCCTCCCATATTGCCTTCCCTGTTCCTGGTAGCTTGGAAGAAGGTGAGATTTCACTCTGATTTTGGTCAGAGCAATCATTTATTTATTTATTTATATTTCAAATTTAGATACCGCAGTGCATGCTGGTTTATGCTATCAGTTCTCTTTAAATAAGTAGTTGTATATTACAGAATGCAGTACTACAATAAACCATCAGTTTAACAGACTTTGGATACAATGGACATTTTTTAAATTTAGATTTCACCTCCATTGAAGGATGAAGATTTAAATTAAGGTTTTACAGCAAATGATGCAATTCACATGAGTCATGTGATTATGCAAATGACATGAATTGAGGTAGATTATGTACTTTTGAATTTAATGGACATCCCTGACCCCAAATGATCTGTTAAATTGAAGTTTTACTGTACTTTCTTTTAATGTGTTCAAGGATTTTATTTCCAGTGGCTTTGTGGGTAAATGGAATAAGTACAATTGCAATGAAAGAAATCCCATTTTAAAACAGCAGTGACCCTGATGAATTTGTAAATAAAGAGAGGGAGTCTAAGTTGTAGAAAAGGAAAGTGAAATACTTATATTCTTTTAAAGCTAAATATTTAAGCTATTACTCTTAATTCTTACAATATCTTTAATGTCTAAGATCCATTACAATTTTTTCTTTCCATATCCCATAATGTATAATTCTCAGAGTATGTTTTTTCTGCTGTTATCTAGCTCTGACTCCTAATAATTGTTAGCCATCTCTTTTTCAAGGACACTATCTTTTTTTTCCTGCTGGCTTTTATCTTGAATTTACTTCTAGTTTTATTTATACATTTTTCATTAGTTCGGTTATTGTTCATCTATTCTCCCGTCTATGTCATATAGACACTATGCCAATAAGCAGACTTTGTCTGTGATTTTATTTTGTAAAAGGCTAGTAAAATAGATCTAAAGCACCAAATAATAATAGCATTTCACGTAGAAAGTTCATAGGGGGCTTCAAATCAGCAATAGCTCCATCTATAAGGATTAGCCCTCTGAATGGAGGGAAGACTGTGAAATACAGTTCTTAATGCTTAAAAATCTTTCCTTAATGTTTATGAAAACAGGTTGTCTTATAGTATCTAAAGATATTCTCATAGAAACCTGGTAACAAATAGAATTGTACTGTCCTCCTGCCCTGTGTCTATTAAGTGGGCATCTCTAGAAGAATGGTACTTCCCACCTAATTCAAGGAACATTGTTTCTCTGAACGGTCACACTTTGCTACTGTTTTAACTTATTTTAATGTACATTACAATATTTTAATATATATGGAATCTGAAGATAACTTCTATGCATGAGCAGGTTCATTATGGATATACAGTGTATTCGGAAAATATTCAGATCCCCTTCACTTTTTTCAATTTTGTTATGTTGGAGCCTGATACTACAATCGTTCAAATTCATTTTTTTTTCTCATTAGGGGATACTCTACTCATATGGGGTACTCAGTACCCCATAATGACAAAGTGAAAACAAAATTTTAGAAATGTCTGTAAATTTATTAAAAAGG